ATAGAGAGCTGTTGGCAGGCCAGCCATTGTGTTAGAGAAAGAGACAAAGACAGAAATGCCTGAATGGTCTAGCATAAATGTGGGGTCCTTGAAATGGTTATGAAACTTCATTTGGGGCTGTGAAGTTTCATGGTCAGGACCTGGATACCTCCCTGTACCTGCAGGTGTCAGGGCATTTACAACATAAAATCACAATACAGTGGTACCTCAGGTTACATACGCTTCAGGTTAAAGACGCTTCAGGTTACAGACTCCGCTAACCCAGAAATAGTACCTTGGGTTAAGAACTATGCTTCAGGATGAGAACAGAAATTGTGCTCCGGCGGCGCAGCGACAGTGGAAAGGCCCCATTAGCTAAAGTGGTGCTTCAGGTTAAGAACAGTTTCAGGTTAAGAACGGACCTCCGGAACGAATTAAGTATTTAACCCAAGGTACCACTGTATAAAAAGGGGCCACAAGCAGGAATCTTTTGCCCAACATAGGGCTTCAACCCATGATCTCATGCTCCATATTCCGCCTTTCCATCTAAAGAGCTCAAGGTGGCATACATATTTCTCTTCCCTATTTTATTCTTACCATGACCTTGTGAGGCAGATGCGGCTGAGACACAGTGCGTTGCCCCAAGGCCACGCAGTGAGGTTCATGGCCGAGTAGAGATTTGAACTCTGAGCTCCCAGGTTATAGTCCAGCACTCTGACCACTACTCCACACTGGTTTCCTATAATGGTAGAGAATCTTGTTGGTTTCCTACCCTGTCAGGTAACAGGAAACCTATTAGGCCTCTGTAATTAGGATTCGTAATCTGGTGAACCGGGTTTGATTCCCCGCTCCTCCACCTGCAGCTGCTGGGTGACCTTGGGCTAGTCACACTTCTCTGAAGTCTCAGCCCCACTCACCTCACAGAGTGTTTGTTGTGGGGGAAAGGAGATTGTTAGCCGCTTTGAGACTCCTTAGGGTAGTGATAAAGCGGAATATCAAATCCAAACTCCTCCTTCTCTTCTGTGTAATTTCGTGAACCCAATACTACCATGCTTTCAAAGATATACAAACAAACATTCTTTATTTCAGTCCAAAGACCCACAAAAACAGTTTTGAAAGCAAAATACAGCAGGTATACCAAGAAAACATTCCAAGGCAGTCGCTATGTTTTATCCAGAGCATGTTGATTTCTAACTCTTACTACCTCTGAAAGAAATTTTGTCACGACCAGGGTAATGTCATTTGTCTTGTCTTTTGAGAATGTACATTTCCCCCATGTGACTTGACTAGGCTTTTCTGGCAATGCTCTTGCAAGACTTTTGCTAAGAACGGGGAAGTGAAGATAAAAAAATATTCTGGAGATGGATTCCTATTAGATAAAATGGAGATCCATCTAAGATTATTTTTCAAAATACATTGCACAGTGCCCTGAAAATATGCGGCTTTGTATGTGATTTGACGTATAAAAAGGGAGAAGAAAGAAAAAAAACTACCCGTCCAATTGTTAGCTTATTTTCTGCATCCTTTCATGAAACTGCTTCCCCTGGAAAATATGAAATTAATCACATGGAAAATATATCTCCCTATGTTATCAAAAGATTAATGGAAGATTGTTCTGTCAAAGTGTCACCTTTTCAGTTTCATCTTGTTGAAAACTGTCATCCCTAGTTGACCAATTTTAAATGCTGGCAGTGGAGTCCAATATAACTATCACTTATTTTCTATTTTTAGAGGCTGGTTCTTCCAGAACTTGACAAGGTTTCTCTCTCCCCCCCCCCCCCCGGACTAATAACAGAATTGTCAAAGAAATCAGCTATAAAAGACGACATTTGCTGATTTGTTCAGGGTTGAAGCATGGTATGTTTCTGGATCCACATCTGTGAGATCAGAGATAATTTCGAGGGAGATGAATAAAAGAAGTCATGCCACACTGTTCCAGCTTTGAATATTGAAATGTTCTCAGGGTGGTGACATTTTAAAAGGCATTGCAGGTGTGCTACATAAAAACAGGAAAAATAGTTTTTGTGTGAAAGCGAAGTATCGCCATTCAATCTGATGCAATGGCATAGAAAATTTGGTTTTACGATGTGTTCTGCATGTGTGTGTGTGTCACATATCTGCTTTAAGATCTAGCTATTCTCATTGGTGTGTGGAGTGACCTTTTTTGTCTAAACACAGTTTAATCTTTTCTATGAATCATGCTTGTGTTCTGTTTGATCTATTGGTTGAAAGGTCAGGGAATGTGAAAGAAAGGTTAAAAATAAGATAAGAACGTCCCTTTTATAGGCAATTGGCTTGCAAAAAACTCGCAGACTCCATTGAAGGATCTAAAAATATAGGGAGGAAAAATAATCCCTGAATTTTTGGTCTTTCTAGTTGTCACCAAGAAAAGTAAGAAAGTTCAGCATTAAATCAGACTACCAAGATTTAATAAGCTGGATCTTGAGTCATTCAGCATATATTGATTGTTTTCTTGTAAGCAGTAAATGGAGAGAGGAATTAGAACTGTTAAACGACCAGGTGGAGTTCGTAAGTGACACTGATTTATGGCATATCTAGAATGTGTGCCTCCAGATTCGCCCAATTCAACTTATCATTGGCATTTTGAAGTATTTCATGAATATACATTGGATTTCCACTGAAAGCTTTTTACACACACATTTATAGATCTATACTCATTGTTACTGCTAGTATCCTATAGTGTTAAAGAGCCCAGCAACAACATTTTAATATTAAATTATAGGTGCAATGTGTGTAATATTTACCATACTGCTGATGTATCCAATGTCCTAAATAATGTGTACATTCCTGTTATTTCCATAAGCTGTGAAGGGCCAGAATTAGCTTTCCATAGCTCATGAGATTACTAGCTGGTTCCTATTCCAGCTGCCGTCGAACTCCGAAAGAGCATAAGTGGTGTGTTTTGAGCAACTAACGTAGAATCAAAGCTGTGAAGAAATGCCAAACTATAATAATTTTAACAATAGAACGATAGAGCCCATACTCTCACTTCCACCACAGGTAATAGGAATATTTGTGCATATTTCATGCTGTTCCATTGAGCTGAAAGGATAATAGGAATGTGGTCTATGGCTGTCAGGGACTGTACTGAGGAGGAATGGTGGAGACCACCACCCCCTCCTCTTCAACCTTCCAGGAAGACAGTATAGATTTACAGCAGTGGTTTGCAGAAGGTCATGGCTCTGGCAGAAGAGGGGCAAAGCTGGGAGCTAATGGGAGAAGAGAAGCAGAGCCAGAGCAGCTGGCTGACACGCTATCACTAGAAAGCATTCTCCCAGAACCCGGCGAGCAGTGAAAGTAGGAGGGCAGAGAGCTAAGAGGCAAATGGCCTTAAGCAGCCACTGTAAGGGGGCTGGTGCTGTTGAGGATTGAGAAGGGAAGGAGGGGTGGAGCTTACTCAGAGCAACCATCAGAGAGGCAGCATTTCTAAGCCTCTCTCTGTGAATATTGCATAAAAGACTTGGTAAGAGCTTCTTGTCTATCAGTTACTGGGAGCCTGCTGTGGGGAAGGAGGACCGGATTCCCGGAAGCCAGACACTGGCTGCATCATGAAATGTAGACTACATGGTCGAAATTAGGGATGGATAAACTAGTTTTTCTCACCTACCTTCTTTTCATAGGTGTTCACTTATAAATCCATTAGTGTCTGCTTTCACATTGTGCATTCTTTAATGAGACATGGGCATTGCATTTAAATATGTGTATTTGAATTTGTTTAGCTTGAAAGCATTTTAAAACACATTTTGATGCATTTTTGAAGCAAGAAAGGTGTTGGAAAATTCAGACAAGTGTGAAATCCAATGGTTGTCTTTCCAATCCAAATATTAGTGCAGGATCTCTGGATCAGGTCAGTTCATATTGGAATTTCCAATGCTCAAACATGCCTGCGGTTTTTCTGGCTCTTGAGTTGCAGCGGTCATAGAATCATAGAATTCTAAAGTTAGAAGGGACCCTGAGGATCATCTAGTCCCCCTACAATGCAGCTGTTCCATCCCAGAATCGAACTTGCAGACTTGGCATCGTCAGCACCATGCTCTAGCCAACTAAAGGGACCCATTCATTATCTGTTATTTTCAAGCCTTTTGGGTGGGAAATGGTTGCAAAAATAAGCTCTGGGAAACACAAACACAATTAAAATTGGGATAAAGTATCTTATACCTCTTAATAAGTATCTCGACCTTTGCCCCCTCTGCACTATACATTTAAAGCAGTATCATTCACTTTAAACAGCTCCAAAGAATCCTGGGAACTGTAATCGTTGCTTGAACTCATTACTTGAATATTCCTATTTTGTAGCAGCTATGCACGCTGAAGGGTTAATATGATGGCTATGTGTTTGCCAAAGTTATACCATTGCTTCTTTCTTGCAGCAATGTGGATTGCAATGTATACAAGCATTTTTAAAAACAGACTGAAGGGGCCAGAGTTCCCTGTCGTAGATTGTTGGAAGCCATGACTGATGCAAGATTAAAGGCGTATATTCACTTTGTTCTACTCCGTAGCTGCCTTAGAAAACACCTTTCCAGTAAATATCATTCACCTGTACTGGAGAAAATGAGAGATGGGATCTGCAATGAAAATTCTTAAGATTAAACCTAGGTATTCATGAAATGAACAAATAACAAGAAAGGCGTATGCACAGATCTAGATAAGAAAATTCCAGATAAGAAAGATGTAACAAATAATTTTTTAGAGTTTTCTCCGCCTCTCTTTTACCATTCCCACATCTATTAACAGCTGGACGAGTTTTCATCCTTACCAATTATGGTTAGCTAATGTATTTGGATTTTTGTGCTAAAAATCGTCACATGTATGCTTCCGAAAAGCAAGTTTTATTTTACCTGTGCATGCAGATTTTCAAGATCAAGCCATTTCAGAAACTGTCGCAAGTAGCAATGGAGTTCAGTCGCTCAAAAAAACCCCCACCCCAAATCACCCTGACATTTACTGAAATAGTTGCGTAATAACCTATTCTGCTGTCTTTTTCTTCTTTTCCCAAGGAACTGCTCATCTTTCTGCAGAACTTGCCCACGGTGCACTGGGGAGACGAAGATATCAGTGTCCTCCTCGCAGAAGCCTACAGACTGAAATTTGCATTTGCAGACGCCCCCAATCATTACAAGAGATGAAAGCACCAGAAACCGTATACAGCCAATCTGTCTGCTGTGGCATAGGATCATTTTCATTATTCTGGTTGTGCAGACACGCAATTACTCGCTCCTGATTTCATACGAAGCGTCCCAAAATAGTTCAGCAAAAAAAATGTGGTTGGTGGATTACCAAAGAAATCGGCAAACAGGTCATCAAGAAGATTGTGATTGACTTAAGTGAACGTGGCTACAAAAAAAATCGAGTCTGCTTTTGTTTTTATTCTCCCTTTTTCTTTTTATAGTTGCTATACGAATGAAGAAAGTGTTTTATGTTCATTGGTATCTAATGACTTATTGTCTTGTCTCCATGAGCCTTGTTCCTAGTTGATTGTGTTCATTATTTTGATGGAAGTATTACTAGTCTCTGGGGTACTTGTGAGCTAATAGGAATGATCTGTCTTGAACAGAAAATGAGGGCAGATGTGTATTAGGCAGTAAGGTCATCTAAGGGCCACATGGACTTGCTTTTGATTTTGGTTTGTAACACAATTTTTAAAAAATTCCTTTTAATGTTATTCTTTGTTTACAGCGTGAAATCTAGGAACACAGATTTTAATGGAAAACAACATCTAGAATTTGAAAAAAATGCCACCTACTTGGGTGCTATGCCCTGTGGTATGCAGATAGTTTTGTATAAATTATTTCACTTTGAAGTGTCTGAACTGTACTAACTAAAAAAGAAAAGAAAATAGATTCATTCTGCCATAATAATGTATACATAATTTAATGCTTAAAAACTATCAAATATTTTTTCAGCACATAGACTTTTAGCTTCAATGCTTTTTTCCCCCCTAGTAAGATTTTTAGTTCACAGTGAATATATTTTAATACGTTATTGCCTTACCTGGAATTTCTAGCATGGTAGGAATACTTGACGGAAAAGTCATGTATGCATTTTTAGGCCTTCCATCCTTGACATAGACTGGCTTGAGCATGGAAGAAGCACAGATGGATACAGTCACCTGATAACCAACAACCAAGATTCTGCCGCACTTCCAGAATAAACGTATGAATTTTGCACTGTGTAAGGGAAGGTGACTGGTGAAGACTTGATTCCAGTCTGATCTCTTTCTTACCAATCAGGTTGGCTGACTGGTTAACATGCCAGCCAGTGTGTGTGTGTGTGTGTGTGTGTGTGTGTGTGTGTGTATATAAAAAAGGAACGTGTCAAGTCAATTTATCTGGAGGAAGTCACCTGCATACAATTGACATGCACTTAAGGATTTCGCACAAACCGATCGGGAAGCTTATCTCACTTGAAAAGCAACTAACAAAATTCTTCCGTTATTTTTGTGACTTAAGTTCTTAAGTTGTGACTAAGTGGCAACACTCCATTCACTTTTTGTAAAGGCCAGTTTATCCAAATAGCAGGGGCAGGTAGTAAAGTTTTTTCCTGTGCTGTATCACTTTAGAATAAAGGTATGGGATTGAATATACAACGTAAAAATTCATTGAACGTGGAAATCTGGAAGGCTAGTATGGATTTTTTCTCCCTGATACGCTAGATTTCTGTGTGCAAGTAGGTTTGTTGGAGGAGCATTCTAGAATGTGCCTGCTGTCCGAAGTGTGATTGATTCTTGTCGATCAAGTGAGTTTGCATACTGTCAATCCCAAATTAATTTATACTGTAAATGGAACAACTTCTTTTCAGGAGTTTTCCAAGTGTGCCTTTAAGTCATTTTTGGTTTGGGGAAATTTTTTTGCCTTTCAGTTTGGCTGCATATGTTACCTTACTGCTTGCCATATGTAATAGATGCCTGAACAGATAAGAACCATAGGCAAGATTGGCCTAAAAATATGGAAAATGCTTATTCTAAGAGGCTATGAAGATTTCTTGAGGATTAGTTTCCTTAAGGTATGATTTGCAGGTTAAGTTCAAGTTCTTAGTATTGAGCTGTGCATTTAGATTGCTTGGGGACATTTGACTGTGAAACACATCATGTTTAATAAGCAAGGTTGTTCTATTACTTCTGCAGTAGAGAGGTGTGGCCTTTTTCACAGCGATAAAATAGTTGTGATGTTCCAGGACAACAATAAGAATAATTTGGTGGAGTTGCATTGCCTGGGAAAACTTACTGCACCATTACTTAGGAGTAGCAGCAGTAGATATGCTCCCCTTATCTTCCATGCAGGGATATGCCATGCATGAGAATCCAGAACTATTGCAGCCTTACTGGGCATTGCTTTAGCTTATTACATACTAATACTACAACTAGAGATAAAATTCTGTGACATGGTTTGTCATGTCTACAGGTCTTAAGATGTGTCTTTCCCAAGCATCAAGATAACTTCTCATTCTGTGTTCAGTATAAGATTTCTCTCTTAAGTTTCTCTTTTAAGTTTACAGTGTCATTGTGCCTAACAAAGTATCTGCCAAGAACAGAACACGCAAAGTAAAAGGTAGAATACAGAAAAGTCTGTTGATAACAGTGAACGTTTTATTTAATAGCAAAAGGAAGAAGAAATCAGCTGCAACATGCATTAATGATGGGGCTTTTTAAATATGTCATTATTTATATAGGAATTTGAATGGTGAGGCAGGGGTGCAGACAAGTTTACTGTGTAAGATGAAAGTATACAATAAAATGTGTATATCTTAAAAACACACACCTTTCCTCTGTAAAGATCCACTGAGTTACCATCTCAACTTCCAAGCTCCCTTCAGATCTCTTAAGTGTTTCTCATTTAAGAATTGAACGCTATCATGCCACAAAAAGGATTTACATTTGTAGGAGACAAATCTTGAGCACATTGGTAGATGAGGGTAGAGACTTCTCTAAATGCATAACTTTTCATTCTTATTTTATATAAAAAGGGGGTATTATACAGACAACTAATTTCATGCATACTTTTCCCTATATACTATTCTATATATTCCCTATATACCTTTTTCTTAAAGGAGAATTATGCTTGGCTTTTGATAATTTTGTATCTCAGGTAAGTGCCATCCCAACCAAATGTTATGTGGAAGAAAGGTTTCCCTCATTTTTATACTCCTTTATTACAAGTATAAAAGTAAAAAACAAAACAAAACACAAATAGGTATCTAATAGATATTTTTATGTTGATATTTTTCAGCATAGAAAGGAATCAGGACACCTCATTAATTTAGCCTGATTTGTAATTTAATAGGGTTCATACAGGAGGCACTCTGTCATAAACGCAATATTAGCTAACAGCTGTAACAAAAGAACCGTACAGCACAGATAACCAATTTATTTCTATAGTATATGCTTAGAAATGTAAATAGTAAGCAATATATTGAACTATGTAAATACAATACAAGAAAGAATATAACTATCTTGCATTCATCTGTACATCTTAAATATAACAAAACTAGTTGCACTAGTCTTTAATTTCTTATGGAAAAACTCATAGATTTGTATTTAACTCGAGAACTCTACAATAAAATGTAAGTACCCAAGACTCACTCACTCTCTTTCTGTAATATATATTTCTGAATGAATATAGTATCTGGTTTAAAATGAATAATCCAACTCTTTGTGTCACAATAACGAGGTGTAACTGAAGAACGGGTAAGACTCAAAAGGTGTCAGATGACATCTGCAATACTATGTCCAGATCTGGGTACCACAATTTAAGAAGGATGTTGACAAGCTGGAACGTGTGCAGAGGAGGGCAACCAAGATGATCAAGGGTTGGAAACCATGCCTTATGAGGAACAGTTGAAGGAGCTGGGTATGTTTAGCCTGAGAAAGAGGAGACAGAGAGAATATATGATAGCCATCTTCATATATCTAAAGGATTATCATATGGAAGAAGGAACAAGCTTGTTTTCTCCTGCTCTGGAGGGTAGGACTCAAACCAATGGCTTCAAGTTACAAGAAAGGAGATTCCAACTAAACATATGGAAATTCTTTCTGACAGCAAGAGTTGTTCAACAGTGGAACAGTCTTTCCCAAGAGGTTGTGGACTCTCCTTCCCTGTATCATGGTCCGGTCTACGGGCAATCGAAGTCCGGGCTGAGGACGTCAGGACCGGGGGCAAGATGGGGTGGTAGCAGGAACAAGAGTCCAGAAGCCAGGGGTCCGAGGGTCAGGAAGCAGGGAGTCACAAAGTCAAGTGTCCGAGGGTTGAGAAGCAAGGAGTCAAGAAGCCGAGGTCCGAGGATCAGGAAGCAAGAAGCCAAATACAGCAAGGCAGGAAATGTGTTGCTGTGGCAAAGAGGCGAAGGGAAATGCTGACCTTATATCCCTTCCTGGCTCTTGCCACCAGGTGCAGTGAGTTACCAAGTGGCCTCACCTGTGCGGCTGCACCTTGCCTCTCCAGAACAAACTTAGGAAGGCCCCAGTCCTGCAAAGCCCTACTGGTCACAGGGCCTGGCTCCTGCATGCACTCCTGACACCCTGGAGGTTTTTAAGCAGAGGTTGGATGACCATCTCCCATGGATACTTTAGTTGAGATTCCTGCATCGCAGAAGGTTGGGCTAGAAGAAGAAGAGTTTGGATTTGATATCCCGCTTTATCACTACCCGAAGGAGTCTCAAAGCGGCTCACATTCTCCTTTCCCTTCCTCCCCCACAACAAACACTCTGCGAGGTGAGTGAGGCTGAGAGACTTCAGAGAAGTGTGACTAGCCCAAGGTCACCCAGCAGCTGCATGTGGAGGAGCAGAGACGCGAATCCGGTTCACCAGATTACGAGTCCACTGCTCTTAACCACTACACCACACTGGCTCCTATGATTCTATGAAGTTATTGGTGTTAAAGAAGCCATGTAATAAAGACCCAAGAAGAATTTGCACGCTGACAAATATTTAAGTATAGCTAGAAGCACACAAGGTGTGGAACCCAACCAAGTTGTCGTGCTGACGGAAAGACTTCCGTACAACAAAACTTTAAGAACTATTCTGCTATAGCTCTAGAGAGAAATGGTATGGAGTTGAATGCAACAGAAACAATGTTTGGGTTAGCCAGACTACGTTGCTTGGTACTAATTTCACTGAGGACAGCCTTCAAGAATTACTTTGCGCTCTCTGTGGGTGAACACGATCACTTCCTCTGGTTTTAGTTTGTAAACTAAGCTATCTCTTAAGTTTCCTCTAGATTCCAGAAATCTCTTGAGCAACATTCCTCTTCATGCCTTTGGCTGATCAATATTCTACAGCCTTTTCGTTGTGTCTGTGGGAAGGGGGATGTTAATGTTTTGCTGCTTTTTAATTATTTACTTGTTTTTCTCCTGTATTTTATTCTGTGAACCGCCCTGAGATCTATTGATGAAGGGTGGTATATAATTCTAATAAATAGAATAAAATAAAATATACATTTCAGCTCAGAAGTAAGCCCCATTCATAGAATTATAGAATTGGAAGGGACCACGAGGGCCATCTAGTCTGACCCTGAATATTTTGCCTAATGTGGGGCTCGGACCCAGGACCCTGAGATTAAGAGTCTCATGCTCTACTGACTGAGCTAGCCCACAGGATTGCAGCATCAAACTCTTCCTCCCCCCCAAAAGAAAAACCGAAATCCCTAGCGATAATACCCTTACTACTTGCTGTGGCAGGGAATGGGAGAGGAGTGTGGCACTAAGATGCCACGTGTGTGAATTGTACAAGGGCTTCTCTTTATTGGTAAGCTACATCATGGTGTCGGAATAACACCTGGGGTCACACGCAGCCCCCGGGGTGAGAAAAACCTCTCCAGTGTCTTCCTGATGAAGCGCAGCCCGGAACGTCCACAAATCCTTAGTCCCAGCGACACACATCAGAAGACTATGTGCACGCTCTTATCAGCTGTTCAGCAGAGTACAGTGGTACCTCGGGTTAAGTACTTAATTCGTTCTGGAGGTCCGTTCTTAACCTGAAACTGTTCTTAACCTGAAGCACCACTTTAGCTAATGGGGCCTCCTGCTGCTGCTGCTGCGCCGCCGGAGCACGATTTCTGTCCTCATCCTGAAGCAAAGTTCTTAACCCGAGGTACTATTTCTGGGTTAGCGGAGTCTGTAACCTGAAGCATATGTAACCTGAAGCGTATGTAACCCAAGGTACCACTGTATAGCAGAAACGAAGTGGAGCGTTGGTGTGTGTGCATTCTAAGTATTTATTAAGCAATATATACAGCACAAAGCAATCATGGCGTCTCTCCTTCTCCAAGAGACAGAGAGAGAAAGTACAACAGTCCAATCACAAACGGAAGAGAGATAAGACAGGTTTCCGTTCTCACACTTTCCAAACCTGGAAAGTAAACACAGACGTGTGATATAACAATCACATATCAAGCAACGGGGGAGTGGAATGCTAACATCTTCCCCCTTTTCAGGTAACCATTGCTGCATATGCTAACGCAGCCATTACACTATTAAACATACAGTTGTCATACACATAACAGACTCCTGTAGTACCTGCCCCATCTCTGGGACCAGTTGCAACTGGTGTGGCCTTGTGCCTGACCATCTTGCCCTTCACAGCCGTTAGCCCATGGCTCAGCATCCTTTGAGGACACAATCTGTACCTCTTGGAAGTTTCTAGGTTCAAAACCCTGTGCTAAGCTGACAGCCAAGAGGCAAAGGCTCAAAAGAATACATTTGAGGATGTATGTTCAGCAATGGACATGGGAATAGATTGTGTTGTCTGTATTTCAAAGCCTATGTTAAAACGCACAAGCAAGAAACTGGAAGAGAAATAGGTGTTCCAGCAAAATGTGTCCATGGAAAATTAGCCTGCTCTCTTCTGGATCATGAGCTGAACCTGTAAGCCTCATTACCTAATTTTGTTCACTCATTTGAAATTCCTGGTGTATGCCTAGAGTAAGGAAAGGTTTTCATCACAGAGAATCCAAAGCTGGATTTTGTCCCTCCTCTCTAAAAGTCTATTTTATGGAAAGCATAATAAGTTAATCCAGCTTTGGTTGGAGCCCTACTGAGAGGAATCAAAAGAGATATATAGGTTTATCAAACGCTAAGGAGAAAATAATAACATTAATCATTTATTTGTGTCTCCTCATGCATATGTTGATTTATTATTTCACTCTATAAACCTTGTTTGTTAGCAATTGGTGTATAGATAGCAAAAGTCTCGGTGTCTAAGATAATGACAGTAGTCTTTCAATTTCAAATTATCCCGTACCCATTAACCAGCAGGGTCACATCAAGGAGATCCAAAGGAAACACAGATTTATTGAGGAGGATTATTGGGGGGGGGGTGACGACTTTTTCATTTTCAACGACGATTAAAGAAATCTCTGAAGAATCTATTATATTTGTTTCATCTAGGTGTTTATTTGTATTTGCAATTTATATTTGCTGGAAGTGGGGATCATTCTGTTGGGACACAACAAAGGGAGGGGGTTAGATTTAAAGCAAGACAACGCAACACAACATAAATAATAAAGTAATCGTTGGGCAATCTAGCAATCAACTTAATTTTGTGCAAAAAAGAGGGTACTACTATCAATTGAGGGACGCGGGTGGCGCTGTGGGTAAAAGCCTCAGCGGCTAGGGCTTGCCGATCGAAAGGTCGGCAGTTTGAATCCCCACGGCAGGGTGAGCTCCCGTCTTTCGGTCCCAGCTCCTGCCCACCTAGCAGTTCGAAAGCACCCCCAGTGCAAGTAGATAAATAGGTACCGCTTACTAGCGGGAAGGTAAACGGCGTTTCCGTGTGCGGCTCTGGCTCGCCAGAGCAGCGATGTCACGCTGGCCACGTGACCCGGAAGTGTCTCTGGACAGCGCTGGCCCCCGGCCTCTTGAGTGAGATGGGCGCACAACCCTAGAGTCTGTCAAGACTGGCCCCTACGGGCAGGGGTACCTTTACCTTTTTTACTATCAATTGAGTCATTGTGGTCTTTCTATTGCAGGGTCACCAGCCTCACACCTTGCATGCACAAGCATCCACAAGGCTCTTTCTAGGTTCCCACAGAGTCCGACCCCCACTCCCCAAAATAAGCTGAAGAGAAGCAATCTGTTGTTGCCAATATAGCGTTGAGGTATCTGCTTGGTTTCGGTGTTGCGTGGTGCCCATGACAGTTTCATCAGCTGGTGAATGTGTCCACAGGAGTAAAAAGGTTGGTGACTCTGTTTCTATTGTTGCCTCGTGCCGCTAAATCTTCCACAACAGTTGGGAGTGGGAGTAGCTGGGAAAATTAGCCACAAGGCTCCTCCATCTTTCTTTAATTATAGTGGAGTAGGCCTCTCAATTTACCGGTCGATCGCGGGATGTTCCTGGTCGATCCCTGTTGATTGTGGGATCCTGATTCCCCTCCCCCCAAACAAAACAAAACAAAACAAAACAGCTCAACAACTTCGGCTCATCCTCCCCCCCAAAAAAGCTCAACAACTTTGGTCAATCCAATGGGTAGATTGCAGTCACTTGGCAGTAGGACAGCCCTGTAGTAGAGGAATGTGGAAAAAGCAGAGCTGACGGTTTTCTATGTGCAAAATATAGCAGGTAGGTTTTCTTATTTTGAGGAACTATC